CTATTATTATAACAGAATATTCCTTTATCTGCCGCACGTGACGAGATTACGGCGATAAATTTGTCAGCGAATATTTTTACATAAATCGTCGATCTCCCCTCCCGCTCTTTTTGGTTCCGTTTTTCGCTCCTCTTTTTTTGTGCCCTTTTTTAAGTTAATTGAAAGCTCGTTGCATTGTGCGCGGTAGTAGAGCATGCGCAATGACCTTTCTCTCTCTCTCTCTCTCTCTTTCTCGTCGCGCGCGCGCGACTCAAACATAACACGCGCGATGAAGAATGCATGAAATTACGAGTGAAAACAGTACACTCCGGATTAGTAATGCCTTCCATTGCATTTGCAATTGCGCGCGGCGTTTTGCCGAAACGTATGGCAGCGAGACGCACGATATTTCCGTTTCGTAATGGCGAGATATATTTTCGGCGTGTCGTTAATACATCGCGAGACATTATCTATAATTTTGATATCGCAAACATACAGAATATAGAGAGAAAGAGAGAGAAACACGGTTTTATTACTTTCCGGTGCCATTAATAACTCATCTATGAATTTTCCATCGCCACGTCGCGGTTCACTATTTGCACCTCGGTATCGGAGAATATTTAATCCACATGTTCTCGGCGCATAAGAATCGCCTCCGCTTGCGGTTAATGTCACGCCAGTGTCGAAGATCATCCTCGCTTCGCGCCCTTTTTTATTTACGCGCTCGTGAGGAACCATCTTTGCGTCGCGATTCCATTTGTATCCGACTACACTCGATATTCCGCGATTTGTTTCGCATTTGAGGACAATTTTTCTTGGAATCTCCGTGAGCTGTGCACGAGCATGTGTGGAACATCAGCGCACGCGGGAAGTCTCTCGGCGCAAACGCGGATCGCAAAGTGCGCTGCACAAGGAGCAGCTATCCTCGAGATTGCGATCCTATTGACTTATGGCGTTTCCGGCCCGTCGACGGAACGAGGACAGACATGAAGGGAGATCGCAAGAAAGAGAGTTAGAGGGAGAGAGAGAGAGAGAGAGAGAGAGAGAGAGAGAAATAGATAGATAGAGGCGGAGGGAGAGAGAGAGAGAACGGCGCAGTCTGTTTAAATAAACAAATCCGAGCGGGTGGTTTGATTTGCATCACGCGCACTCACGCCTCCGTCGCGGTGCGAATTTCAACGCGGCTCCGCTACTCGGTGGCCACCTGAGTAACGTGAGATACCTGCGCAATGATGTAGCTTCCCTTCACACCCTCACCCCCGCCCTTTTCTCCCAACATCGCACACCCCGTTCAACGTCGGAGAACGCGTAATCCGCCCGAATAAAGGATAGAGAGAGAGAGAGAGAGGGAGAAGCTTTAAAGGACATTCCTGTCGCGCCTGCACCGCGCCGCGCCGTAATTCACGCGCCGCGATTCAACGTCAAGTACTGCCGTCGAATGACAGTCTCCGGTGTCAAAGCATACCTGGTAGCCGGCGCCAACCTGATCAATCCCCGGCAACCTGCGCCGCCGCCCCCACACGCGCCGTCTTCTTCCGTCGAGAGCCGCGCAATTCGAGCGGCAAATGCAATATTGTGGCCTCGCCGGCGAGACACTCGAGACAAAATGGCACGCCGTCGCTGCCAATGGCGCGCACGAGCGAACAGAATTCGTCTTTTTTCTCCCTCTTAGGGCAATTTTCAAAGGGCTTGCACTCTTGATCGCCCTTCTGGCTGCTTTTGTCTCGCGTGCTGGGCGTTGGTTTGCTAATGTGTGTGCGTTTAATTATAACATTCTTTTTTTCGAAGATTCTCGGAAGGTTCTTAATTAAATTGAACGCTTTTCGCGACGCACTCGGTCTCGAGGCTTCGTTCGATTTCCGAGCGAGTGGCGCGCTACAATTCGTCGCGTTGCGCGGGAATGCGGCTTTTCGCTTTGAATCGCGATAAAAGTGCGTTCGATATTCTCTTTCCGATTCACAGTTACTTCCGTAGCCGCGAACCGGAACTACGCGACGAATAAAGTCCGCTCGAGTCGAAACTTAAGCCCCTACTTTATCCCTAAACTTTCTAACATCTTCATAACATCTATAACTTTCAACCTCTCTCGGCAAAGCGCTGTTAGGTTAAATATAATATATACTTTTTTTTTAATATATAAGAATATATATATATATATATATATATATATATATATATAGATATAAAAGAAGAAATTGATATAGCCATTAGAATATTAAAATAAACGCTAAATTGAAAGGTCGAAAGTAGAACTGAAATTTCCATTCCATTTTATCAGGACTTAATAAATCGGATCGAAATTGTAACTCTATTTTCGACCTGAACTTTTCAGCAAATGTATATTTTTAAGGATCAGTGTATGTATAATACATAATGGATAATATATATACAATACATATATACATATAATACATATAGAGGCTAAAATCGTATTTAACATCTCTAAATGGTCGGAGACATACAAATCGAAAGAGGCGCTAAATATAACTGAAACCGAAAACAGAATCAAAATTTCTATCCGGGTCTATTTGTACCTGATAATCCGAATCGAAATTTCAGTTCTCAACCTGACTTTTTTGACATGTATGAAACCCTACTTGGCGCCTCTAAATTCCGGGAAACGTACAAAATGCCACTTATAAGTTCTAAAGAGGACCTCTTGGCAATTGGTGGATCAAATAGAATCAAAAGAGATTGGTACAGGCTTCAGAGTATCAATATAGGGGCGTTAAATGGAATATCGAGGTCGAAAGTGGAATCAAAATTTTCGACTCGTGTGACGCCGTTATTCACGCTTGTATAAGTCGCATTTATTTTGATTTACTAACTATATCATGCAACATTTCTTGCAGCAATTTCATCCCTTTGCTGTTTGAAATTACAGGTTTTTGAAGCGCAAACGGGGGCATATCCCTTGAATTTTATTATTCGCCGATACCGACGTGTCACTTTACCACTCTGTCGCGCTCGACATTTATCGCGTTGCTTTTCCATTCGCACCTCTCCGACCATTTGATGCCCGGAGTCCTCTTCGCATTAGTCGATGGGATAACTGCGAAAACGAGATACCGTTCCCCCGACAACGCGACCAGACCGACGCGCCGCGCCGGATGATCAGCAAGTGGAAGTGGACGAGCATGCGTCCGGCCTATGAAATCGGAGTCGCTCGCGCGACCCGCCGAATGTTTATTTGAAATAGGATAGCCGCGAACGATTGCACGTTCCTGATTTCGAAACCTGATCGAGCAACTACCGGACGGGCAACTAATGAAAAATTTGCATCCGCACAGTTGCGGTCTGACGGCTCGGGTGTAACGCCCGGCGAAAATCACAATTGGTTTTGTGCAATGCAAGAGGAATCGATAAGTGCGATAAGATTCTACGTGGAATGTAATAATGAGAACAGTAGCCGGACAGCGTCGAGAGAACGGAGACTTTTGTGAAAATTTTCGTTTCTCGCGGCGAGGTAACCCGAGACTCTCTCGCAAGCCGTTTTGTCACTCTGAAAGAAAAAATATCTAAAAAATACTTCTTCGGTGTGGACACTAATAACATATTTATTTAAATCTAAGTTTCTAAATAGAATGAACAGTTGCTTCCACAAAAAGCTAAGATCTTCTACTTGCTAAGATCTATTTTGAGAAAATACAAAAAGGGAAAAGAAAAGTAAAATTTCACTTTATATGTGTCGAGTATTTTTTAGTACTAGTTTCAAACATCCTATATACATGAAAAATGTGTTTAAACACAATCCTTTATAAAGGTTGCTGAGCCCAATATTGTATCCGGAGGGTTAATAGATCGATTCAGTTAACCGCTCGTCAGTCGTTCCCGCATTCTTACGCAAGGTAAACCGTTTGATGTAAACCGTTTGATGGAATTCAGAGCGACAAGCGCTAAAGAGCCAAACGAGAACTGCCGTGTCTGTACTGCAAAGCGCCATCCGACCTACAACCTCTTATCTCGCAATTCTACCCTCGCCCCTTACTGCCGACTCCACCTTTGAAATCTTATCCGCCGCTACGTGTGTACGACCTCCTCAGAATTTATATTAAACAACCGACTCCCATTATTGGCTTATTCGTATGTAGTGAGGTGAAGCAGCTCTACTCGCTGCTATCCGGCATGTCTCGCGGCGCTCGAAGAGGGCGCGACACGCGCAACGATCCTTCACGACGTTCTCTCGCGAATGTAGCTCGTTTATCATGCGATATCAACTCGAACACGAACCGCGACGGCTCGTTTTAGGTAGAAATTAAATTCTCGATAGCGATCGAATTCTCTCCGATCTGCGCACGTACGCCAAAAAATATCTCTGCATTGAGAAATTATTGAAGAGAACGAGATGTTCTCTTAAGGTGCTCATTCGATTACACCTCCCAAATAGATAATGTAAATTCAACCTTTATTAGTTTACGTGTAAATACTGTATCGTTTTTCTGTATGGGAGAAAAGATATCCGAAAAATAAAAAATATTTATTCGATGAGTACTAGTGACACATATATTTGCTTAAATCTAAATTCTTTTATTTTTCGAACAGAATAAAGAGATCGCTTTCATGAAAGGAGGTTTTAAGAAAATGTATATTTTCTTATTTGAAAAATATATTATAAATAAATATATGATCACGCACATAGCCACTGAACAAATATTTTTTATTTCTTATATATTTTCTCTCTCCGTGTATATAAGAATGGTTCTCTTATATTTATTTATACAGAATAATAAAATAGAAATATCAGAGAGAGAAATAGCATTTTTTGAATGCTATTATTATTTGGTTAAGATATTTATATTATTTGTTGCGTTATTGATTAAAGAATGAAAGCTTCGTCTGTAGACTTTCAAGTGTGTTTCATTTTGAAATACTGACTGCTCATGACTATCTCTGATAATTACGGAATTCCACCAAAGCTGTTTTTCCAGAACGCGGATTGGTTCGTTATTTTCCACCTATGCAAAGTTCGTTTCCACATAGTTGATCGCACTAATCGGCAATTCCTCTGTTTGTGTGTACAGCTTGCTCGTCGACGCAGTTCTTGTGCAAAAACGGACAGTGCATCGACAGAAACAAATACTGCAATGGCGTGCTGGACTGCCACGACGGTACCGATGAGCACAACTGCCGTAAGTATTGTTTCCTCCATATCTGAATAAAAATACTCGTTCGCATTCATCGTGTGTGTACTTGCATGCGTGGGAATGTATGTATTGTGGGTTGTCAGTGTGGCCTTGTGCAGCCGGGTATTATCGTTCATCAGTAACCTATAGGCTTGTACCCTCAGAATTCATGAGCTCTTCTTTGAACTACTTCGTAGTCAATGAAACTCGTTTAGCAACGCAATTGTATTTTCTCGCACGCTTCGCGGTGCACTCACTCCTCGCGAACTGTCAATCCTTCCCATACGAGCAGCGCCGACAGAACTTTCACAAATCCTCCCGAGTGCGAGTTTGTTATCGTTACACTTTGCTCGACGAACGTTTCCCTTCGACACAAGAAATTCAAACGCCACTATGCGACTACATGTCGTCGTCATGGACGTCGTCGTCGTTGGCGCTATCGTGGAGGAATATCGAGACTTTACGTGACATCGCTGTTCGTCCGGGAAGGGTCGGATCACAAACAAAAATGAATTCTGTAACGAGATCGCACAATGCGAATGCGCGAGGCCTGCGTGCCGATGGAAGTATCTCCATGTGGAATCGTCACTAACACCCCGACGCCCTCGTACGTACCGGCATTATTTATCGCCGTCTGGCGTTGCTCGCACATCAGGTCTGCATGCGATCGCGCCGGAACTAATCGCGAACGAGCCTACGACGTATTACGATGAGCTCAATAATTATAATAGCTGTGACAATAACAATAGCGTGCTTGGGGAAAAATGTGCACGGTCGGCGATGGTTGATGATGTTGGGGGGTAGTGGCGGTGATAGCGGTGGTAGTAGTGGTGGTAGTGTTGGTGCTGGTGGTTGTGTGGCGGCGATGGTGGCGTTCCTCGGCCTTGCGTTTAAGGCCGTTGCACCCGCGACATCGGCGCGTATCCCTTTCCCCTCCCCGCCATCGAGCCCATCTGCCAACCCCCTTCCCCCGCCTACCAATTACGTCAGTTTATTATTTCCGTCGTCTTTTGCGAAGGCACGCTTCGTGGCCGACCCCGTGTACGGCCGTGTGCATCGCTAACTACTACGCCCGGTCGTTACGGCCTAATTCTTTCTCTAAGCCTCGGGAACAAGGGGAGCCTTTTACGGCCGGAAGATCGGCGGGTCGCGATATGAAAGGCGGAAGATGAGCCCGCTGGAAGATTCCAGTCGTGATCATAGACAGACGCCGGGACCGAGGTATTCGCGCACCCAAACTCTCACTGGTAACCTCGATGAAATCAGCTGTAGATTGAGCGGACATACATCGTCCGGAAAAATTGAAATCTCGAAATGTGGAAATTGGAGCAACTTCCCGGACAATCATAATAGCGAAATCCGAATATCGCGACATACATCCCGAAATACAGTTCTCCCGAAATGTACGAGTGTACCGAGCAGAAACTGAGGTAAAAGTACTAATTCGCGAACACGATCCTAGACGTTCTCATTGATTTAGTCTTTAGACACGAACATTTAAACTTTTAACATAGAATATATGTATATATTCAATATGTACCTTGTGTTTTGAAAGTTTAAATATCCGTATTTAAATACTAAAACAATAAGGATGTCCAGGATTGGATACGTGTCCGGGCATTCTTTTGCTATATTATCACGCGAACAGTACATCCGAATCGAAATTTTAGTCCTACTTTCCACCAGAACTTTCTAATATCTGTGTATTCTGAAGGATCAGTGTATGTTTAATACACATAAAAACTGAAGTCCTAGTTAGCATCTTTAAATAGTAGGAAACGGACAGAACAATGAAGAAGAAAATTTCGAATATCATCAGAATCAAAATAGAAGCAAATTATATTATTAGAATTATTAACTTACTTTGCTAACTTAGTTTCTACTGTGTTGTAAAATATATAATTAATATTGGGCCAAAAATTAGACTGAAATGATACTAATAATAAGTCAATTGTGCAACGAGACAATTCCAATATTTCGGTAAAAAGCGCAGTAAATACCGACTAAAAGTAACGTCAACATTATAATTTCCTGCTCAACAATGTAAGTGCAATATAACACGTGTTGTATGTAACAGTAGCATCGCTCACAGCAGAGAATTACTACATTGATATAATGTTACTGTTGGTTGGTGTTCACCAGGTCGTATTTCGGGAGATTATCGCGGCATTCGGATTTCAGTAACACATGACTTTTCATTGAGAATTGTCGCACTTTTTATGTTACGGTACATTTCCTTCTCCTCACGCCGCGCGCGTCCGCCACGGCGGACTGTCCTGCGCTAATTCGACAGAAAAGAAACGATCCCCGTTCGCCCGCGCGATTTGAACCACGACACGCGCGGGAGAAGACCGCAAATATTCATATTACCTTCGCGGTTCGCGTCGAATATGATGCGAATATTCGCCTCGTAGCCGCGCTGTGTCAATTTTACGCACGGCGATGTTCCATTAGCGGACGCAACCATAATGAATAACACGTTTGATGGCGTCGTGCTAACCTAATTATATAACGCTTACGCACGCGCCCGTCTTACGGAAGCTAATGATAGCAGTGACTATCCCGCGAGCGCACGAATGTATCGAGAAAATCGTGACTATCGATAGAAGCCCTTACCCTCCCGTCGTCCCGCCGCAATTCAACGCGCGCGCGCGCCTCATTAACGGCATTAACGCCGTCGAGGGCCGCGAGGGAACGATTAAAAAAAATAGGAAGAGAAAAAAACAGAAAAAAAGGAAAACGTAATAGACGAGAGGTAGGGCACACCCCCGCGCCTTACCGCGACCCCCGCCAAATCCGGGGGTGGCCCCATGTCGAACGAGATTTACTCGCGTTTATTAATCCGCCCTAATAACCGGCCGCAATTTTAATCCGACGTTAATCTCGACGGGCCGTTCGTTGTTGGCCGAACGTCGGAGGCCGGCCTTTCCGTCAGCTCTCCGCCCCGGAATTTCGCATTTTCACCACTTTAATCCAATTTTGATTCGTGAAGCGTCGCGCGCCCCGTCGAGCTTCTCCGCGCGAAAACCGGCCCGTCCCGAAATCGCGTCGGTCCGTTTCGCGAGGCGATTTGTCCAGCTAAATCGCTACCCTTCGCGCGCTGTTTGTTTGTTTGTTGGTCTCGTCGTCGTCGAAAAGCCATTTGTGATGCGGGAGCAACGCGCGCTGCCTCGGAAGAGAACAGTGCTCATTCGACGCATTTCGCATGAAATTATCGTCCTGAATTATCCGGAGCGTAATAAGACAACTGACCATAGTTATGTAAGAATGATCCAACCAATTGTGATTTGTCTATACCAATATAAAATACTTTTCATATAAAAAATGTACATTTTCTTATTATATATACATACATATGTAATATATATTTTCTTATTCTACATACATACATAATATACGTTAACATACATTAAAATCTCAAGAAAACCTTAGTTTTTCACGAAAGCAATTATTTATTCTATTGAAGCAAAAGAATTTAGATTTAAGTAAAAATATGCTGTTAGTACCCATCAAATAAATATTTGCTAAATTTTCAATGTTTTTCTCTCAGAATAAGTCATGTTGTCAAATTTTCATCTTCATTTTTCTCGAAGCATACTTCATGGGTTCGATCAATCTTGTATAACTACGGTCGAGTATATACAGTTGAGTCACCTGGATAATTGAAGAGTGTAAAAAATTGCACTACCATGACGCGTTAATTACTCTAAATGATCAGGAGATAATGACACGACGGCGATCGATTTCACCAGCCGACGCGTCTACGCTGGCCGATGAAGGAAATCACGCGTTCGCTTCGAGTCATAATTAGCCGGATTAACGCGACGCTAATCTCACATCTCGAGTAACTAGAGTTTTGCAGTTAAACCGTCAATTCCGCGGAATGTATATTCACGGCCGGCATAAGATCGTTCCCAGACTACCCGGATATTCGGGTGAGCGAATCGCCGCGGGCGAGAGCTCGTGAACAGATTATTGAACTCGCGACTCGTTTGCAATTCAATCGTCAAATGGGCGAGGCCCTGGGGCAGGCCTTGAACTTAAGATGATGTCAGAAATCGCGGAATCCCCCGTTGCCTGCCAGAGCCTGCCAGCCACTTTGTCAAGCGACTCACGATCGCCGCGCGTTCCGCGCAGAATCCATAGACATGCACGGGAAGAAAAGTCTTGCAATAGTTAAATGCGTTTGGTTTCAATGCAACATTTGGCTAATTAATTAAATTATTGGGTTGATCCATAAGTACGTGCGGATTTTTCAAGAAAATTGAAATAAATTTTATTACTGTTAAAAATAGTTTTAATCAATAATATGTGCGCTACTCTGTTCGACAATCTTTTGCCATCTCTCACGTAATCTCATAATACCCCCCTCGTAAAACTTGTGCTTTTCCGACGAAGAAACGTTCCAATTGATTTTTCACATCTTCTAAAGAAGTGAAGTTTATATCGTCAAGGGAATTCTGTAATGAACGAAACAGATGATAATTCGAGGCAGCAATGTCGGGTGAATATAGTGGGCGAGGTGGAACAAACCCGCCAAACTCTAACAATTTTCACGAAAGTAAAAAAGTATGATGCACCGGAAAAATTCATTACTGCCTTCCATGTTCAAATCATAACAAAAACAAGTATACTTCTTTAAATATACTATTATTTACACCATCAAGATATGCTTTGAAGCATCAGCTATCAAAATATACGTATAAATGGCCAACTATATGGAACTATCCTTTTGATAGCTACAAAACGCGAAATGCCAGTTAGACAAAAATCCGCACGAACTTATGGATCAACCCAATATTTCATCATTTGAGTGAGAGTGCAATTTCAGATTAGTCCAATGACATTGATGTTCAATAAAATGAATGTTTCGAAGAAAAATGTGGGATAAAATTTGCATAATTACACGCGACACATTCTATGATACATTTAGGTCACTTGCCGGCCATTACTTTGAATAATGCGCGCGCAGCAAAGGACAGAAACTCACCGAAGTTTTGCTTCTCGCGTTCTGCGAAATCAACCGACACCATCGGAAAGTGTACGGCATGTTGAGTCTATCTCATACGTCTATGGGGGAATCGTAAGGTCGCGTCCCATTGCGCACCGTCCCGCAATCTCCCGGAAGTAATTACGACGAAAAAAAAACGGCACCTCGAAATGTGTCGCGTGTGCCGCAGGATTAATCGCGGACGTATTAACCCGCTGCGGAAAACCGGCGAATGAATTTTTCATCGGCGTTCGTTGTCACTCGATTCGACGACAATTAACGGCCACAACGGGATCTTCGTAATTATTCTATGGCGCCACTTTATTCGACAAGCGCGGCCGCAGAATTATTTATCGCACGGCGGTTTCATCACTAATAAAGCGCTATTTCATTTTTTTCCCCTTCCGTTGTTTCTCAACCCCGGTTTCGATTGCGCTTTCGACCGTACGCACCCGAAGTAGCCGATTAATTTTTCCACGCGACCAAAGTGCTTCGACAATAAATATTTCGATAGGCGAGGTCGAAGCCCGGCGAAATTGCGCAAAGCTAATCGAGAAATTCTCGTTATGAGATTAACTACCTTCCAACCAGTGCTAGCAGTTCGGGAGAATTTTCTCCCGACCAGAAACCTTCTACATATGCGCAGAGTGACGTAGCAATCTCATAGAGGGTTCATATACTGATGAATCCTTTATTTACGCCTAAAATCGTCATTGGAAACTGTTTACATCAGGCTGCTACGTCACTACTGCTACATGCGTAAAACGTTTTCGGTCGGGAAAAAATTCTCCTGAACTGCCAGCACTGCTTCCAACACATGCATCTCTCTCTCTCTCTCTCTCTCTCTCTCTCTCTCTCTCTCTCTCTCTCCCTCTCTCTCTCTCTCACGCGCGAGCGCACGCGTAATCCAATTGTCCAACTTGATTATCAGCCCAACTCCTCCGTCCCTTTTTTCCAAGTCTCGCGCCAATGAAAGTTCAGTGATCCCCTCAAATGCTAAAACTTTCGTCTGCCTTGCTTTTGTTCATAAAAGCCACCCGTTGTGTTACCTGTGAACTCGTGTGACTTACATTATGCGTTCTCAGCCGGTGTGTGTGTTCGTGCAACAGCGCGATCATCGACATGACTAATTCTGCAAGCAACTGTTGATCGTCACGCAGTGTCCGGCCGCGCGACACGTCGGCGTACGTTCCTGCTGGTTGTTCGATCGTTAGCTAATTGCCGCCGTAAGCGGCAATTAGGGCACGGCGGGGATACGACAATCGTACGGCCGTAACTCCTCGTTCATTTATAATCTCTTCTGGAAAATTTTCTCAAATGCGTGCTAATTAATGGCCCGGCAGAGCGTGGACGCGCTTAACGCGCCTCGCTCGGCCACTAATTAATTCTTTGGCAGCTCCTTCACTACTCTCCGACTCTTCTTTCGTTGACTGTTACGTCATCGCGCTATGGTTCTACGTTTGAATTATGTCTGGAACGTCCTAACCGCAGTGGGTAACGCACCGAAGTAGCACAACTCTGCGTCATTTTAATAAGCGGTCTGTTTTTCTCACCTGCATCTTCTACAATTGACGCGAAACAAACGTGTGTTTTACGTATATATAATTTGAAAAGAGATACACTCTTCAAATATATAATTTATACGTGAAATATATATATATGTAACATACAAAGATATCGCATTTGAACATATATTTAAAAAACTGAAATTACATATCGAGAGAAGAATTTACGAAAAATGAGAAGAATTTACTCGAGATAATCACTGTGTAACATATTTCAACACTCGATAGCTTTTGAAGAAGTAATTGCCTAATTATTTTAAGTATTCAAGAGCCTTGTCAAGCAAAAAAGAAAAATGCAGCTGAATGGAAGAGATCCGAAATTAACTTGACGTTGCTTCTTTCTGTTCGCTTACAGAAGAGTCTAATTCAATAGAGATTTATCTGTCCTTAAATGTCAAGCAGGAATGCGACTTAATCTTGTCGTCACTCAATTGTTGACAATCATCGCGCTTCCGCGTCTTATCTGTGTTTCTCAATGTGTGTCACGTTCGTTCGACATGTCAATGTCTAATCCACGTCAACGTAGTAAAAGTCATTTCTCTGTATATGTACATGCCATCTCTCGAATTGACCCACGTCAGTCGGGTCTCTCGTCGTGCCGTTCTCGGCGTAATAAATCTTCCCAGATTAGCCTGAGTGCCATTCTTACAGACTGCAGGGATGACCAATTCGAATGCGCGCCTGGTTTTTGCGTGCCTTTATCACGACGCTGTGACGGATTCGCGGACTGTAACGGTGGAAGGGACGAACAAAATTGTCCGAACATGAGTACGGATTGTCACTGTTTGCTACAACGAGCCGCCACACCTGCGCAAGGCAAATGCAAATCGGCTGCTCGCGTTGGAATCTGAACTGAATCGCATATTCGCGCACGCGAAACTGGACTTTAAACTTAAAGTGCAAGCAAAAACTTGCTTCTGACATATATGTCCTCTTCTTAAGTAACACGAAGGAACGACGCGTCATCTTTTTCCACGTTATGGAGGTCACACGTCGCACGTTTGTCACACGAGCAAATATGTTAATTACCAATGTCCGTGAGATTCCAACGCCTGTAGGGTGGGAACGCAAGGCATGCTCGAGAAGTTTAACACGTTCGCTTCGAAGGGATCATTTGGAAAACCCTTCCTCCTCTCAAATTATCTTATATATTTTTATTTAAATCTTAATTTAATGTTAATTATTTTGATTATTATTTTTGTCGTATATTATTTTGATTTCTATCTATTTATATTTTTTTTTAGAAACTAAAATACGCTATTAGAAAATTTGTTGTATTCTTTAGCAAGATAGATCTTACCTCTTTGTGACAATCTATTTATGCAATACTGAAAACATAGTAAGATTGAAAATAATTTACACGAAAAAAATGCTATAACATTCTCTTCGTGCGGAGAAAAATTATCTCCGTCACACATGTGTGACACTGGTCTCCCATGAGAGATCGATACGCCACACATGTGTGACGCTGTCAGCGTACGTGTTAAACGTTTCGCGGTGGCCCATTGAAAACAAAAAAAGAAATCATTGTACGCTTCTGGCAAGGCGCTTCTATTTTTCTGTCGAATTGAAATTTCATAATCGTTGTATGATCGGCTCGATTGAATTTCGAAAAGCATCAGTCTGGTGTTCCTGCGTTTGCACGATTCCACGTCGCGCAAATACATGCGCGCGCGCGCGCGCGCACGCACACACACACACACACACACACACACACACACACACACATCACACAACGGGACACCGCAACACACCTCGACGGGCGAGAGGTAGGTACGAATTCTCTACTGACGTCTTGGGGTATACACGGTGGGTAAGGGTATATACCGCAGCACGCGCAAATTCTTATCCTACGTGAACGATGAACATCTTGCACGCGGCATGAGGTTTGACCGCAGCTCGCAACTTCTAACTCACTTCGGAAACGGTGCATGATAATCTACACACGATCCTGGTTCACTTATCGCGAAGTCACAACGCGAAGAAAAGAAACGTCGACGGGCGTGTACATGTGTGTGCGTTAAGTACGCGATAACGCAGCGGCGATTTCTGCACTTAATTAATCAGGCAACACGTACGACCATGAATTCGCTCCTCGATGTCACGCGGCTCGTAACTAGAATTACCCGAATGGAAATATGACTAGTCGACCTTAGCCAAATAGTATAAGGCTGGATTAAATTTTCTAACTCGTTGCTACCTTGTTACTGTTTGGTTATTCATTCAATCGTACACTAGCATTCATAAATGCCTTACCATTCTCAGAGAAATTTGTACAATGTCCGATTGTACACACATGATCATAAAGTCGAAAATCGTGTACAGAATTCTTGTTTCCGGAGACGTTTAGAAGACCCGATGACAGCTTATGTTTTGATTCAGCCTTGACGGCGGACGGAGAAGCCGTTGCATTTAGAACGATGTAAAGCTTTAATCAGGTTTCATCGATTTTTCATCGTCACATATGATGATACATTTCCGAGTGTATCGCGAGTGATCCCCCTCGACGCATTGAATATCCAAAGTCACCAATACGTTAACAGGATCGGTAGACGAGCAACGCGTGACACGTATATATTTACTATGGGTCAAGTGGACTTCTGCAAACAGCTGCCGTTTTTAATTAACTAAAGCGGGCCATCGAATATTTTCGAATGTACGACATATTTTCGGATGTATCGCGTGTGTACTGATTACCGATATATCGGCGTAAACTGCATACATTCCGGTGACAGCCGGTTCAAATAGCGACGATAATTTAAAAAAAATACACGGGAACCATCCGATATCCGGTCTTTTGATCTCTCTCTCTCTCTCTCTCTCTCTCTCTCTCTCTCTCTCTCTCTCTCTCT